GGATCTGCTGTGATTGACACTGCCTGTACAAGAACTGTGTGTGGTGAAAAATGGCTTGCAGATTATGTAAGTGGGCTGCCTCAAAGAGAATTAATAAAGATTAAAGATGAAAAGAGTGCAAGACCTTTCCGGTTTGGGGACGGAAAACTGGTGCAATCCACAAGAAAGGTGACTATTCCTGCAACAATAGGAGAAACTAAATGCAAAACTGAGACAGAAGTAGTTCCAGCAAATATACCGATGCTTTTGAGCAAAACATCACTGAAGAGAGCGAGTGCTGTTTTAGACATTGCTCAAAACAAAGCAATGATGTTTGACCAACCTGTAAAACTTGAACTGACGTATTCTGCACATTACTGTGTAAACTTGAGAAAGGAAAGGATCAATAATGAAAGCCAGTTTGAAAAAGGGAGACACCAAATGATGAAGATGATATTCTCACTGTGACAGAAAACATAACAAAAGAGAAAAAAACAGTACTGCTAAAGCTACATAAACAATTTGGTAAAAACCCAAACCTGCCTTCAGTTCTAATTGATAGACCTCCAGCATTGGAAACTGATGTCAACACATGGATGGGTCATCACACTGCAACACTGCATGGCATGAGAAAAGCCTTTGCTGAGGCTGAATGTTCTGAGAGGATCCGAAGAGCCCTCCGAAAACAGCTGCGACCCACAGATGACAAATATGAAACAGGAGACAAAGTCTATTATAAACGTACAGACTGTCAGGAGTGGAAAGGGCCAGGTGTGGTTATTGGCCAAGATGGTGTAGTAATATTCGTCAGGCATGGTGGAACGTATGTCAGAGTACACCAGTCTAAGCTGAGAAAAATGAATGAGACACAAGAGAAACTAGGGGAAAGCGAAAGCAAAAATCCATTTAAAACGGATGACCACCTTCCAAAGACACCAGCGGAGGTACTTGATGAAGAACATGATTTTGAAAGCGAACATGAGGAGGAGATGGCACCAACAAGCAATGAATCACTTGGTGTTGCAGAAAACAGTGAATCCTCCTGTGATCCAGTACAACCTGAAGGGGATGGTCTTCCACTGACACACACAACTGTAAGTGAAGGAATAAAACTAAAAGCTGGACAAGGAATTAAATACACAGACAAAGAAACAGGTGAAAAATATGCTGGAAAAATAACAAGCCAGGCAGGAAAAGCCAGTGGGAAACACAAAAACTGAGCCAGAGAAAATTGCTGGATCCACAGGGTCCATTGATATGGGACAAGTAAGCAACCTCGAAGTGGTTGAAAATGTCAAGACCAATACTGACAACAGAGATGAAATATTAGTGGTGAACGAGGATATTTTTTCACACGCTAAACAAACTGAACTTGAGAACTGGAAAAGAAACAATGTATTTGTGGAGGAAAAAGATGAAGGTCAGATGCATATCAACGAGGTGGGTGTGCACACTCAAGAAAACACAAGTAGACATAGTACCAAAAGCTAGACTGGTTGCAAGAGGCTTTGAAGAATTTAACATTCAAGAACTTTCTAAGGATTCACCCACTTGTTCCTCTGAAGCTCTAAAGATGGTCATAGCTGTTAGAAGCCAAAATAAATGGAAGCTGAACTCCAAAGCAGCTTTTTTGCAAGGTAAAGATTTAACACGGGATGTGCATCTTCATCCACCTCAAGAGGCAGAGTGAAGGAATCGTATGGAAGTTAAATAAATGTGTCTATGGCTTGGCAGATGCTTCCTTGTTCTGGTACAACAAGGTGAAAGAAACCATGCAGAAGTTGGGAGGAACTGTGTCAAAAGTTGATCCAGCTGTCTTCTACTGGCAAGATGATTTCTGTAAGGTGACAGGAGTTCTTGCATGCCATGTAGATGACTTTGTATGGGGTGGTTCAGACATGTTTTCTTCAGCTATTATCCCCCAACTGAAAACTGCTTTTCAAGTTGGACGAGAAGAACATAACAGCTTCAACTACATTGGAATGGAGGTTCATTCTCTGCAGAATGAAATCAGAGTACAACAGCGTGCATACATTAAAAACCTACAGCCCATTCCTATGGATCCCATCAGAGCACCACAGAGGGAGGCTCCATTAACAGACACAGAAATGGACATGTTAAAATCCAAGATTGGACAGATTCTGTGGGTAGCAAGACAGAGCAGACCTGACATCATGTGTGACAAATCCATCTTGGCGTCAAACACAAAACATGCTGCAATTCAAACATTACACTGTGAAAACAAAATGATCAGAAAACTTAAATCTGAGGAAGTTACCCTCAGATTCCAATGCTTAGGAGACGTCAAATACCACAAGCTAGTGGTGTTCAGCGATTCCTCAATGGGAAACCTCTCAGATGGAGGGACACAAGGAGGACATTTTGTCATCCTGATGGGAGAAGATGGAAAATTTTCACCCATATGCTGGCAATCCAGACGGATTAGGAGAGTGGTACGTAGCACGTTAGCTGGAGAGACTTTAGCACTAGCAGATGGGATTGATAGTGCTGTCTTTCTTACTACACTCTATTCAGAGCTCATGGTTGGTGATGGCACGCGCAACATCCTACCCATTACCTGTGTAACGGACAACCATTCCCTCCTTGATGCTGTCAAATATACAAAATGTGTAACTGAAAAGAAACTTCGGCTTGAGATCAGCAGCATCAAAGAACTTATGGGTTCTGGGACAATTCAGGAAATCATATGGACACCTACCAAAGACCAACTTGCTAACTGCTTAACAAAAGTGGGGGCGTCTGCCCTTGGACTGCTGAGAGCCCTAAGTGAAGGGAAATGGCAATTTAAAGATTAAAACAAACAAACAAAAACACTACTGTTCTTTACATAAGTTAAGTTGAAGTAAATGGAGCTAAAATAAGTAAAGTTAAAATGCTACTACCGAATGTTGTTCTAACCCGTTATGTTTTTTTTAAAGAAAGAGGGGAGATTGTTAAGTTGTAAGTAGCATACTGCGCATGTGTGAGATGTAAGGTAGTGGGAGGCGGGGCTAGAGCTGTAGTTTTTTCATTCTGTCATTATGTTGTGTGAGGAACGGGGGAGTGCATGTTGTTAACTGTTAATGGCGACCATTAAAGTGTGGATGCCAACGTCAGCAGTGTGATTATTGAATCAACAAGAATATGTATGTTCATGTGGTTCGGTATACACAAGTCCTGCATAACTCTTAGGATCTACAACCCGTTCAATATAATGTACATAAGTGCTTGTTGGTAAACTTACAAATAGTCCAAAGAAAGGCTGGCACTGGTTCTATTCATCGGATGGTTGGTCAGTGTGATTCCTTAAATAAAAATAAAAAAAACACACCAAAAAACAAAGATGTTTTTCTTCTTCAGGAACAGCAGGAGATGGTGCAGACTGACAACCTGAGAGCCTCCATACCATAAGCAGCAGGGTTGCCTTTGGATGCAGGTAAGTTGGCGCGCAGGATGGCGTTGTTCAGTACATTCAGATAGGTTGGCATGCTGTGGTAGCCTTTGTTGTTGTACAAGACCTGGACACAAAGAGGCGCTATAAGCAACACTGTAGAGGTGCAACAGAGACCGTCAGGGTGCCTGTCCCACCTGAGCTGATCTGCGTACAGCTATCTTGCGGACCATTGGAGGAATGTTCCTTCCGAAGGAGGCAGGGATGGATTTCTGGATGTTCCCCACAGTTAAACCACCGTATCTGTTCCCAACCCAGACAGCACACAGGAAACACACATGTAAGATCTGGTCTAAAATGACTTACTTTGAACTGATATTTAGTACCGTTTCTTAATTTTTTATGCATCTCTGACATGACTCAGCAAACTACATCAGGAGGAGCTTGAATGTTTTGAAATATGGTAGTGAAATAAAACCCGACAGCAAAACCGCTGTATGTTGAGCTGGGGAGGCCAAGTTAAAATACATGAAGGACAGAAATAACATAAAAAAGAGAAAAATTAGCACAATAAAACCTGTATGTATTTTAAGAGGGGAGATTTTCTATGCTGTTTTATTATTTTTGAACTCATCAATAAAGCAGTGAACAAGAGTTCGAGACAAGAGTCTGATCCATGTGACGAAGTTTATCAGTGAAAAATGTGGAAATTAAACGGCGCAACTAAGAAGGAGAGGAGCTGCTTTAATCCCAACCACTTTTTCCGTCATTGTGTTACTGAAGTAGCTAGAGTTGAAAGCACCAATTAAAATCCAGGAAATATTCAATTTCAGGTTTCAACTGAAATCCCACCAAGTCTCAGCCGTTCTGTCAGATCAGCATATGCTGCTCAACACGACCTGACAGCTATATCTATCAGACAAGTATACACTGTCATTACCATATGATTTTATTTAATCAGCAACATAGAATCATGACATAGATTATCATACACTTTGTTATTAATAGC